CACCCTGTTCCTACTTCTCCATCTTGTGCTACAGAGGAGGCATTGTTAGATCAGCCCATGGCATGACACCAGCCACCTCTGGGGCCAGATTCAGCACCCCACAACATCACATGTGCGGGTAGAGGTCCCCCCAGCACCAGCCTGACGCTCACCACAGGGAAACAGAACTTGTTTGGGAAGAGCTGATCCTTGGGGGCATCCCTAGAAAGGGCTATGGTCACACAGGGATCAAACCTCTGTCAACAGACAGATGAGGTCCAGCTCTGGTTCTACTCAGGTCTGACCCAAATGCTTCCTTGCTGGCGATGGCCAGGTGCTGCTGAGCCACCTGAATGCCAGCAGCCAGGCAGATCTGCCTCCCCTGCTTCCCACAAAGTGTTTTCCTAATGTTCAAGGGCAGACACAAGCAAAGCCAGCAGGTCACAAGAACAGGCACATTATTAGTTATGACAGCACCTTCCACAACAAAACCAAACACCTGATAAGCTGCTGTGGCTCACCAGCCTCCCCTTCCAGCAGAGGGATGTGTGATTCCCATGAAATTCCATGGCACCCAGTGCTCACCCCTCTTGGTGGGCCACTTCCTGCATCCTCCAGTTCCTCACCAAAGAAAGGTCCTGAGAAGTTCCAGACCATCTCCATGACCTGGTGCCTGCATAGGTACCAGTACCTTCCTCTTGCAAAGCCCATGGCTGAACTTTCCCAGATTTCCAAACATACAACCCAGCTGCTGTTTTGCCCAGAGCAGTCCGAGGTTCACCCTCACAAAGTCACAATCTATCCACATTCCCCCAAATCTACCCTTTTCCCTGCTGCAAAGGGGAAACACAAGCACAACTCACTGCTGCACCAGAAGCAGGGCAGAGACAGCTCCGGCTTTGTGTCAGTGGCAGGAGAAGCTTGGCCAGGCCATTCCCAGCAGGTTCACTTGGTCACGGCCACAATCTCCTGCTCAAGGCCTCCCTGGGCTAGAAAGCTGCAGAATGTTCCTAGAAAATTTCCTGCCACAGACACCAACTCCTCCTGCGCTGCCAGCTGGATCAGGCAGGCTGGAAAAAGTCTGGATGAGGTGGGCAGAAGCTCCCAGAGCTCAGGGAATCAAACCCCACAGCATTCCAGCCTCCAGGCTGCTGGAAGAGCTTCTGTGGCCCCCCCAGCTGAGATCCCCGCCCCGTGAAGATGCTCATCCCAAGGACCAGAGGCCAGTGGTTGGCCAGGGAAATTCAGCTGAGTGGGATCCAGCTTGGGAAAGCACCAGTCAGTGTTTTAACTCCCCTCCTGCCTGCTGGTCACTGCCTGGAGCAAACCTGGGACAATGCCAACAGCCTTCAGCAAGCTGAGCTTCCTGCACAGGAAACTGTCTGGAAACAAGGCACGGCGCTGGCACCCTTCACACCTCCTCCTTCAGCATGGAGTTGTGAGCAGCACCTGGTTTGCCGAACAAGTACCACCAAACCCTCCAAGACCCCCCTGCAGCCCAGCAGGAGCCCAGCCCTAGTGAGCAGGAGACACTGCATGCCTCCTGTCACCTCACCCCCCACACCACCCTCAATCTCAAACTGAAGGTACCACGGCAGCCACACCAACACCCTCTGGAAGTTGTGGGGACCAGAGCTGATGATGCTGGCAGAAGGCAGATGAGGCTTCTCCCCCCAGTGAAGCCTCACAAGCTACACAGCAAGGAGACTGAGCCGTGGCTGCTGCCGTAGGACGGTACTGAGAGACCTTGAAGCCCATCTCGTTCCACCACCTGCCACGGGCAGAACACCTTCCACCAGAGCAGGTTGCTCCAAGCTCCATCCAATCCGGCTTTAGGCAGTAGTTCTGCACGAACAGAGAGGCTACAACCCCGGGGAAACGGGGAGCAGCCGAGCACAAGCCTTTCCTCAACCCCACGGCCACGGGAGCCACCCTGTGACCCCCACCCGGCCCCGCGGCTCCCTCGCCGCAGCCCCTCTAGGAGGTTCCCCCTGAAGGGACAGGAGACCAGAGGCATCACCGCCCCTCCCTTTATTCTGGTGGATTTGCGGGTGTTTCGCACTATTTTCACCAAGCCCGGAAGATGCCCCGGGCAGCCCCTCGCACACGGGCCCGGCCCCGCAGCGTTCCCGGGGCGGCGCGCCGCCCGCGGCCGCACTCACGCTGCCGGTGAAGATGTCCTCGCCCTCCGAGTCGCTGTCGGGGGCCCCCACCCCGCGGTGCTCGGGGAAGGGCGGCGGGCGGCGCTCGGCCGGGGAGGGCGAGCGGGATCCGTGGCCACCGCCCGACGCCATCGCCGCCGCTTCCTCCCGCGCCCGCCCCGCCGGAAGCGCCCGCCACGCCTTAACCCGAGGGGCGGGGCCTCCGCTGCGGACGGGCTTTGGATTGGACAGCGTCCCTGCCCGCCCCGCCCCTGCCGGCAGCGACAGCCAATGAGCGCCGCCTCTGGCAGGCGCCGCGTCGTCGCCATGGAAACGGGGGTGCCGGCCGTACCATTGTGGCGGCGGATAGAGGGGCGTGTCTTCCCCACCCGGAGGAAGTGGGGGAGCCCGGGCCGCCGTGTCCCCTCAGCGCCCCGGCTGAGGTGGCCGCGGTCCCGCAGCAGCGATCCCGTGTCCTCTCCACAGCCCGGGGAGTGCTCCCGTATCGCCCAGAATACTCCGGGTTGAGCCCCTTCCCCCCCCCCCAAAAAAAAACCACCCCAGGATGAACCCCGTACACCCTGAAAACATCCCAGGCTAAGCCACATAACCTAGAGATGTCCCGGCATGAACCCCATGCAACCTCCGAGACACCCCAGAATGAGCCCTGTACCACTCCAGACAGCGCAGGATGAGCCACAGACCTTGAAGATGTCCCAGGATAAGTCCCAGACCCTGACGATGTCACAGGATGAACCCCATACACTAACCCAGAAATCCCAGGATGAGCCCTAAACCACTTAAGTTGTCCCAGGCCGAGTCATATACCCACCAGGATTTTGCAAGATGAGCCTCAGACCTTAAAAATGCCCAGAATGCACACAGTAAGACATCCCAGCAAGACATCCCAAGATGAGACCCATACCCCCTTCAAAGCATCTCAAGGTAAGTTCTATACCACCAAAAATACCCCAGGATAAGCCTCATACCCTGGAGGTAGACCAGGATGAGCCCTATAACCCCCCAGAACATCCCAGGATAAGCCCTAATACCCTGAAGATGCCCCAGGATTAACCCCATACACCTACCAAAGCCTCACAGGATGAGCTCCAGAACCTCAGGACATCCTAGGCTGAGTGCCATACAACCTCCAAGACACCCCAGGATTAACCCCATACTCCCACAAGGCATCCTTGGAAAAGTCACATACACACCCCCCCAGGAGATCCCAGGATAAACTCTATACCCTCCACGATATCCCAGGATAAGACACACACCCTGAAGATGTTTCAGGATTAACCCCATACAACACCCAAGACAGCCCTGGCTGAGCTCCATACACCCCAAAATATTCCAGGATGAGCCCCATACCCCCTTTCCCACCCAAGACAGTGACAGCCCAGTCCTGGGTCACCACCATCCTCTAGGGCCAACGATCCCCTCAGGAGAGCACCAGGAGGAGCTGGGCAGGGCAGATCAGCTCTGGATTAAGGGAGAACATCCAGATGCAGGTGAGTGATCTAGGGGTCCTGCAAAGACTGGATTCATTCCTGGGTGCTGCCCCATGGAGAGGGTGGGAAGCACTGGGTGCTGTGAGCCACTTGGCTGTGGGACGGGAACAAAGAGATGGTTTTCCTTCTTTTCCCTCAGCTGTCTCCTGTTATGAAGCAGCAAAACCCAACAGAGATCTCCAACCTTCCACGCTAGAACTTTGTCTAGTACATGTTTGCAGCCAGGTCACACTTCCATCCTTCATCCACCCTGGCTCCCAGGCAAGGAGCAAACAGAAAACAGAACACGGCTTATCCTTATCTGAAGGACTTGGCAGTGTCCTCCCCAGTTCCTGCTATCAATGAGCTAATTCCCTCCTGCCTGAAATTCTCTCTAGGCTTTGTAACAGCAAGGTCTGTTCTTTCAGTGGCAGGTGAGACACCACACTGGAATCCCCCCAGATTGTCTCAGTGGGTTTGTTACGAGGGGCTTACTCCATGGAGAACCTGCCAGTGCCACTCTTCCAAAGAGGATGGTGTCCTGGGGTGACAGATGGCTAGGAATGAACATAGCTGTCCCAGAAAACTCCCTAAGGATAAAGCACAAGGAGCATACATATCCTTTAAGATGAGCAGGAGAGGCAGCAGGAGGAGATACACCTGCCAGAAGGACTGGGAGGTCCTGCCAGCTGGACTTTGCACTCTGAAGCAGAAGAAACTGAGCTACCTTGATGAGCAGTGTAGATAAATCCCACCCAAGCCCTCACAGCCTTATTCCCTGTAAATTCTTCTTTTGGCCCCTGAAGGATGCCCTTTTAAAGGAATAGTTTCATCCATTCGGGGTTGGAGCTTGGGCAGTCTGAGGATGAGACAAGTCTCTGCTGCAATCCTCTTTTAAATACTCACCAGGCTTTGGGTGTCAGGTTTAGACCTCTGGATGGACCACTGATCCCCTCTCCAAGCACTCTTTTCTCCTCCTCAATCCTCTGAGCATCCCTCCCTTCTTCTCCTTGCCCTTTGCCAGATCCCTGTCCCAGGCCAGGGGTCTCCCTGCCCAGCAATGCCCACTGTGCATCCAACATAAGCCACCCCCAGGAGCCAGAGGAGCTCATAATCACCTTTTTATTCTCTGTCAAGCACTCTACAGAATGTGCTGTAGACAAAATCACCCCCCAGGTGCTCCCAGCACCTCTGTGCCCTGCCCTCAGCCCCTGCCATGACCCAGCACCCACTGCCGAGGGGGAGGCCAAAATAAGTCACACCCACCCACAGCCTCCCCCAGGCACCGGGACAGGAGGGCACCAGCCCCTCGGTGCCAGCCCTGCCCGTGTCACCCAGAGTGCCCTGCACCAGGGTAAGTGTTCACTTCCAAAGCCATCGGGTCCTGCCCGTTCCCATCCCCAGCACCCAGGGCTCAGCAGAATACATCAGTCTCTGTGGGCAATGGAGAACACCTGCAGGGAAAGGACGGGGATGGAGTATCAGGTTGCTGATCTGTCCCAAAGAAGTGGGAGCAAAGGCACCAGGATCAGCTCAGCCCAGTAGATATCTGGAGATAATTCCAAGGGGGGATGAAAGCAGTGAGCCCCCAGTGCTGTCTGCTCTTCTCTGTCTGGGGGATCCCCAGGAGAGGCAGGGAGCCATTCCAGGCAGTACTCACTCAGCCATCTTGGCTGCCAGGTGGTACAGAGTCTGCTTGTCCACGTAGCGGCAGAAGAGCAAGACGAGGTTGCTGGGCAGGAAGAGGGGCTCCGCCAGCGAGGCTGTAGGCAGACGCGACAGCTCGCGGGACATCAGGTACACCGTGTCTGTCCTGGGGGCACCAGCACGGGGGTGAGCACCCCACAGAGCGGAGACACCCCCCCCCAGCTCACACAGTCCCTCACCATGCCTCAAAGTCCCCTCTGCACGGCTTCAGTGGCGCATGTGAGGACAGCAGCCTCTCTCCGTGGCTCAGCAGGGAATAGAGCAAGGAGATGCCAAACTGCAGGAAAGCACCAGGAGTGTCACAGCTAGCAGCAGTGGCACCCCAGGGACACAGTGAGACTCAGGGCCACGTACCTTGTTCTTCAAGGCCATGGTGAGGGGGAGCTCCGAAGACTTGGATAGAGGCCGGGTGAGCTCCTGCAGTATCTCAATCAGTTTGCTGAAGGTCATCTCACCCACCACCTCATTCAATGGGCTGTAGAGCAGGGGGAGAGACTGGGCAGGGCAGAGGGGAGAGCAGAAATCTGAGATCCTTTGACCTGTCACAGCCACACCCCCATCCCAGCACTTGGAGGGGAGAGCCACTGCCACCAGGACTGCTGGTGGCTGACTCCTGGAGACCTTCTCCTCCCCAAGGATGTGTGCTAACCCCACAAGACAAGCCCCCCTCATTGCCCAGGGGGCCACCCCCAGCAAGAACAGAGGAGGAAGGAGACAGCCCAGGCCCTGTGGCAGCTAGAGGTGCTTGCCTCATCCAACATGTCCTTCTTCATGAGGAAGGCCAGGTGGTGGGTGATGGTCAGCAGGATCTTCTCCTTCTGCTCTCCAATCAAGTGGGGCAGCAGCCGGGCCACGAGCTTCTTGCCCTTCCGCACACACAGCAGCTGCAGGAATTCATCTTCTGCCTCCCTGGGAACACAGGTTGCATTGGCACAAATCTCAAGGCACCTGGAGCATCTCTGTCCATTCAAAAGGACCAGCATCAGCTCCCCTGGAGGACAAGGCTCACAGGCAGGGTCAGCACAGGCTGCAGTGACACATGGAAGGAAGGACCCAATCCTCCTGTGACACAGACCTGCTCACCAATGACCATCTCAGATCCACAAGGACCTGGACATGCTGCCTGCTCCCCTCTCCCCATGGCACAGACTCACTCTTCACTGCTGCAAGCCCTGATTTTCAAGGCTTGGTAGATATTCTCCACTTTTTGGCTCTTCTGCTCCTGCTTGTGGGGCTGTTGCTCCCCCAGGGCCAGAGACACTTTCTGTTGCACCTCCTCCACTTCCAGGAGCTGCAGGAAGAGCTGGAGAAAGGACACAGGGTAAGGAGGAAGCTTGGAGCATCTCCTACCAACTGGCTATTATCCAGAACCCTGCCTAGGTAGACATCCACTTAGAGAAATCCCTGGAAGAAAACAGAACACCTGGACCCTCCTGCCCTTCCCCAAATCACCGCTCACTCACCTTCTCGATCCTGTGCAGCGCCCGCAGCAGGTGGGTCCCTGCGGCCTTAGGGAGGGTAGAAAGGAAGGCACAAAGGTTACAGCCATCCCCAGACACTGCCACCAGCCCAGCGCTGGGCCAGCTGCTGCCTGGGGATCAGAGGTGACTTCAGGACACAGAGCAGTCCCATGGGGAAACCATGGCCAGAGCCCAATCCCACCCCTTGACCAGGCACAAGATGCCACTGCTGAGGTGGCATCTCCTCCAACTGTGTGCCCCATCCCACTGCTCAGGACAGCTCCTAAAGCAGCAGTTCCAGCAATTCAGGACCCCAACTTCCCTTCACCTACCTCCTCCTCCACGAGGGCATGGTGCACAGCATCGATGGCCCGGCGAGGGCTGTAGCAGGTGGACACCGTGACCTGGCCCAGCGAGCCAGCGATGCGCACCACTGCGGAAGAGCAGGAACACGGTGACACCACATCCCAGAGCTCCTCGTTCAGCCCCCCAACACTCACCCCAGCCCCTCACCAGAGTCATAGGTCTCCACTTTTTGGATGAATGGCGTGACCAGCTTGGGGGGCTTGTTGCGCCTGCCCAGCAGCTCCTCCTCTGCCTGTTTGCGCTCCAGCCGGTGGTAGTAGGTCTGTAACAACAGGATAAGCCAGGAGTCTCCTCCACCACTCCTGGAGGGTTTCTCCAGCTCCCAAAGCCCCACCCTCAGGGGAACAAGCCACAGGTGCTGCCAGCAGGAGCTCACCTGATAGTAGTAGTCATCATCCATATTCTCACTCTGCAGCTGCATCATCTGCACCTTGACAACCCAGTCCTTCTCCTTGGAAGTCATCAGTCCAGCATAAGGGTCCACTTTACGAGACCACAGCTTCTTGGGGGAGACACTGGCACAAGAGAAGACCTCAGCCTGCTGTGATCAGCCAGAGCCCTCCCCTGCACCTCAAAGACCTCCATACCTCTGCATCTGCCTGCCCTGCTGCTGCATCAGGATGCGCTGGTGCTGGGGGTGCAGCTGGGTCATGTGGCTGGGTGTGCTGCAGGGAACACCAGACAGGGGTCAAGGAGGGGTTTTGGGACATCCCCAGAGTGAGGTGATGCCCAGCTGCTTTGTAGGGCCCCTCTAGTCCCACCCCAACATCCCACTCCTGCTACCTGAAGTTCAGCTGGCCCATGGCTGAGGGGCTGAAGATGAGAGCAGGGTCCAAAGAAGAGGACATGGGCCTGAAGTGCACGCCCAGGGGCTGCGGTGGGCTGCCCACAGTGGGGGACCCAGGCTGGAAAGGGGTTGGAGGTGCATATCCTGCCATCTGAGAAGGAGAGACGAGATCAAGGGTCTGAGCCTTCCCCTCTGAGCATCCCAGAGGGGTCAGCCAGATCTGTGCTGGCTTCTGGCTCCTATTCCTCCTATCCCCAGATACTGCCACTCTCCCTATCCCCTTGCCACTCCAGGGGTGCCTCAGTGGGACCATGGCAGTGGCTCAAAGCCCACCACATTCATTACCTGGTTGGGAGCAAAGAGTGGAGGGGGTCTGCAAGCCGGTGGGAAGGGTTGAGGAGACATCAGGGGTGCCTGGTGTGGAGCAGGAGACAGAAGGTATCACTCAGACAAGCCTGTCCTCGAGGCTGCACCTCCAAGAAGGGGAGGCAGAGAAAGAAGGGATTCAAGAGCACCTCCAAACCTGTTACCTGCTGGAGAAAGCACTGGGGGAAGGGCTTGGGGGACATCAGTCTTAAGTCAGGGCACTTGAGCCAGGGAGAGCCCCCATAGCCCCTCTGCACAGGAGAGCCAACGAAGTCCAGGTCCATGTTGGTAGATGGTGGAGGTCTCTCCAAGACCTGGAGGATGGCTTTATCCTGCAGGGAGGAGGCAGCATCAGGTGGGAACAGGGCACAGCTGGGAACAATTTAGTTCCTTCAGCAACAGTCAGCTCACTAAAACCTTTGGTCATTGCTCAACCAAGACCATGCTCCAGCTGGACTCCCATCCTGGTAGTGTAGAGCAGCTGGGGACCCATGGGAACACCAAGCATGGAGGGCCCAGTCCCCCCAAATTCAATAACTTTGCCTTCAAACCCAGGCTCTGCTTTGGGTGGGTACGCACAGCCTTGGCATCCAAGACACATCTGTGCACCTCCAGAGCCATTTGGAGATGCGTCAGGTATCCTAAATTCCCTGTGCGACCATTGTCCTAGAGTAGTGGGGAGCCCATTAGCCACCCCCTGAAGGCCTGGCTGGAGGTACCCACCTCCAGCATGAGGTGGCGCGGAACACTGCCAGGGCAGGAGCCCCACTCCGAGGGATCCATCGACAGCTGGAAAACAGGGAGATGTTGGCATGAGGCAAGCGAACAGGAGGAGAGAGCAGGGGACACCAGAGGAGCCACCCTGCCTCATCACCAGATGGGTGGGGACATTTTTACCATGTCCTCCTTGCCAAACTCTCCCCAGCAAGTACCAATCCTGCTGTCCAGCACTGCTGAGTCCTGGCTCTGCAAGGAAAGGGGAGTTAAAGGTCTGTCTCCCTGCCCCAACACCCTCTGTGGGGCAGGACCCGACGGTGTGGGGATGGAGGTGGGACCCCCTGTCTGCTCACACATCACCTCCAGCGTGGGTTTGCTCCGCACAGCCCTCATCACTGCTGGGTCTCCCAGTTCACTGGGCTCCTCAAAGCACTCCTGGTCTTCCTCCTGTTCCTCAGTCCCCAGCTCCTCTACCTCTTCCTCCAACTGAGAGTTAACCTGCTCCACCTCCGGCTCTATCCCACCTTCCTCCTCGGCCAGCTCCTCCAGCTGCTCAGCTGCTCCTCCAGTCACCTCTACCAGTGCTTTGGCCACTTCAGGGCTTATCTCCGGTACTACCAGGAGTTTTTGGACATCCTCTTCTGTGGAGTCTCGGTCTTGGAAGGGGGGAAGCAGCACACAGCAGCGTGGGTGAATGCCTGGGCAGCGCCCACCAGGGTGTCTGCTCCCCCAGAGTGCTGGCAGAGTGCTCTCCAACACCGGGACTCCCCTAAGGTCTTACCTAACCCAAAAGTCATCTCGTTGTACAGGTCGAGCTCCTCATCCTCCTCAGCCATCTCTTCCAGCAGAAGAGCATCTTCCACCAGCAGAAAATCCTCGAGAATCTGAATTTGGAAGCAGCAGATTCCTCGCTAAAGGAGAGGTAACCCTAACATGCTCCCAAAGCCGAGGGGCACCCAACCTCCCCTTCACTCTATTGGTGGTGCCAGGCAACCCACAGGGCTCACAGCTGAAAAAGGGAAAAGCAGGAGCCAGCGGCACTGCCAGCGAGGACGGGACCCGCAGGCTCAGCCCACGAAAGCTGCTGGCAGCAGCGAATGCCGGCACGGAACGGCACCAGCGCGGCGGGGCTGAGACACCATCGGGCTTCAGAGCGAAAACCCGCTACGAGGGCACGAGCGCAGGGGAGAGCATCCCACCAGCACCTCCAGGGCAGCCTCTGCTCCGAGACAGAGCGTTCCGGCGAGCGCCAGCCCCAGAGAAGAGGACCGCAGAGGGAGCGGGGCGCCGGGAGGCGGCAGCGGGCAGGGGGGAAGCGGAGTAGGGCAGGCACTCACAATGCGCTCGCCGCCCTCCGCCATCCCGCGGTGCCACCACCTCCTCCTCCCGTTCACCCACCCTCCGTCCCGGGTCCCTCTACGGGGCCACACTGTCCCCGCCGCCCCTTTTATGGGCCGCCCCCGCCGGCCCGGCATGCGCCTGCCGTACAGCATGGCGGCGCCCAGCGGCGTCCCGCGCATGCGCCTGCCGTACAGCATGGCGGCGCCCAGCGGCGTCCCGCGCATGCGCACTCGCCGGGCCGTGCCCCCGCACGAGGGGTCCCCGCAGCCCAGGGAGGATGAGGAGGTGCAGTGACCCCACCTGCGGATCGCGGGGCACGGAACAGCCCGGTCTTCCACACTGCTCGCCTCGCTCCTCGACTGCCGCCGTGTTCTCGGGGCTGATGTCCTTCTGGGGAGTTATGGAAAACTGCTGGGATGTGATCTGTCGGGGTTGAATATTTTGGAAGGTTACATCGAGCACGGGTTCCAATACTAATGCTGTAAATTTCTGCATCCCACAAAACCTAGCGAGTTGCCCTTATCCCCCTGAATACCAGGAGCACCTTGGTCATGTCATCCACTCCCAAATAATTCTCCCAATATTCTGCTAATAAAAGCAGAAGTGTCCCAAAAGTGGAAGAATTGACTACTCTAACCAAGTCATTGTGGCTTTTTGTAAACGTAGTGTGGAAGAGTTGTGGTTCTCTTTACTGGGAAATTCTGACAGGTGTTGTGGATTACAGTAGAGTCATTGCCAGGGATTCACATCCCAAAGGGTCTGGAAAGGATTCATGTCCTGCCATCCTTTCCCCGAGCCAAGGGGAGTGTCCACTTGGGCAGAGCCAGATTCACCCGGGGGACAGCTGGACCGGGCTGGTGACTCCTGATGTGGTGACCCTAATAACAGTTCTGCCACCCATGGAGCAGTCAGGGATTATTTCTGCCAGAGCCCTGAGATCCCTGATAAGGCTCTGGCCACAGCTGCATCTGTTTATCCTACACTGAGGAAAACATTGCATGTTTTCAGCTGCGAGGCTGGCACTGCTCACTGGGTAGTCAGCAAACCCAGCAGGAGCTGGGCCAGTGGGAACTGATAACAAGTGTTTCCAAGATTTTCCTTTGCTTGGCCTCTCCTGATTTACCTGCTCCTTAAAATATTCTCCATACATGCTTTTTTAATTAAATTTGTGTTTTAATGAGGTGCATTAAGAAAGCAGGTCCTAAAGGGACTTAGTGTTTTGGTACTTACACTATGCTGTTGTGTTCTCCCTGCTAGCAGAGACTTTCTTTTCTTTTCCCTTTATTTTCCTTCTAAGCAGCATTACTGGGACACTCAGTGGCATTCCTAGCCTCACAGTTCTGCTGGAGGAGGCATCAGAAAACCTGTTTTTTGGTGTTAGAATTCTCATGTTTTATGTCAGGGCGTCTATGCTGTGCTCAAACAACAGTCAGTTTCACACCCTGCAGCTGCTGGAATGAGACACTCCACCCAGGTTTTGAAAAGAAGGTGGAGTGCTTGCTCCACCATAGGCTGTGTTCTACCAGCCCTGGATGCAAAGTCTTCTGCCAGAGGTGGGTTTTATCCCCGTTTAGGAAAAGTTCGCTGTGACCATCAAGTCAAATAATTCATTCCTCCAGCACTGCCAAAGCCACCACTAACCCATGTCCCCAAGTGCCACATCCACAGGGCTTTTAAATCTCCTCAGGGATGAGGACACCACCACTGCCCTGGCAGCCTGTGGCAAGGTTGGACAGGACTTTCAGAGAACTTTTCTCTAAGATCCAATATAAACCTTTCCTGGTGCTACTTGAAGCTGTTTCCTCTTGTCCTCTCCTTTGCTCCTTGGGCACAGAGCACAACCCCACTGGCTTCCCCCTCCGGTCAGGAAGTTGTAGAGAAAGAGGGTTCCCCCGAGCCTCATTTTCTCCAGGCTGAGACCCCCGAGCTCCCTCAGCTCCTCCTGGTGCTCCAGCCCCTTCCCCAGCTCCGTCCCCTTCCCTGGACACGCTCCAGCCCCTCAATGTCCTTGAAGGGCGCAGAACTGATCCCAGGATTTGAGGTGTGGCCTCAGCAGTGCCCAGCACAGGGGACGGGCGCTGCCCTGGGCCTGTGCCCACACCGGGGCTGCCATTGCCCACCTGGGCTCACGCCCAGCCGCTGTTGCCCCACGCCCCCCGGTCTCCGCCCGGGTCTTTCCCCGCCACTCAGCGCGGAACTGAAAGCGAAAGCACCGTTCTGGCTCGCACAACCTCGGAGCTCCCGTTCTGCCCGGAGACTGATGACGTAACGGCCGCTCCGCGCCATGATTGGCCGTGGTATCCGGAGTCTATAAAAGGCGGAGCGTGGCGGGGGCGGGGCGTTCCGGGAAGCGGCGGGACAGCGAGCGGCAGTGATGGCGCGGGGTGTCCTGGCTCTCGGGCTGCTGGTGCTGCTGGCGCTGCTCGACCTGGAGGCGGCCGGTGGTGAGTGCCTGGGGCGGCGACAAAGCTCCTGAAGGGAGTGAGGAGCTGCGGGGTCCCGGCGGGTCCGCGGTCTCTTTGCCCGGGCGGGCGGATGGGGGAGTGCTGGCATCGAGGCGATGCTCACCACAGCCCCGCTTCTCACTCGGCTTCGCTTCTCTCTCCAGAGGTGCCGAAGGTCGAGGTCTACGCCCGGTTACGGGCCAAGGAGGGAGAGGAGAACACCCTCCACTGCTTCGTCACTGGCTTTCACCCACCCAAGATTGACATCAAACTCCTGAAGAACGGGGAGCCCATTCCCGACGTCAAGTACGGGGACCTGTCCTTCAACGAGAAGTGGCAGTTCCAGCGCCTGGTCTATGTACCCTTCACCCCCACAAGGGATGACACCTTCACTTGCAAGGTGGCACATTCCACCATGGCCGGGTCACAATTTTACCGATGGGGTACGTTGTGCCTCCCCTCCTGCACGCTGGAGCTCCTTGCTTTGTATCCCTGCTGTCTCTGTTCCTTTTCCTGGGAAGCAGGGTGTTGGAACAGAGTGGGGTTTGAAGGTCTTGTATTAGAAATAGAAAATTAACTTGGTTTCAGCGGAAAAGGCTGTCACAAACCTCTGAAGGATTCAGGGAGGACACACATTGGTGTTAATCCATAGGGATTTGGTGACGCTATGTCATCCAATCTCTGCCTCGGTGAATTTAACTAGAAGGTGATGGGTTACGGAGTGAATTTTTGCTTTATTTTGTGTGGATGTAAAGAAGAATGCAGCAGTTGGGGCTGATGGTGGTGACCTAGGCTCAGATGCAGTTTAGGGCAACTCTGATTACCACATTGGGGCTGTTTCCAGGGGACAACCTTGTGGGGACAGGGGAGAGTGGGTGCCCATTTGCCCCCAGGTCTAATGCTCTGCGCTTCTTTCCTGCAGAGCCAGACTTCTGAGCTGTCTCTGGGATAATTCATGGTGAGTTATTCCAATGCTCTGTGGCATGCTGGTAAGGGAAACACAGACCCATTTCTGTAGGGGGGCAGGGTTTGAAAAGCTGAGGAACAGAAGCAACCACACCCAAAAAGTAGATCACATTAATGATGATTTGGGACATAAAACTCTTCCCACACCCTTTCTGCCCACTATTTTGGTCTGATGTCAGCCATCCTGTGCCTACAAGAGTCCTTTGCTCGAAAAAAAGGAGAACTCCGGAAAAAAAATCTTCCCTGCATGTTGTTGCTGTGTCAGATACCGCAGAGAGCTGTTGCAGGTTCCCTAAAGCTCCCTCAAGGCCCGAAGTGCTGTCTTCTGTCAGGGCAGGAGCAGGAAGTCGCTGTACCTGAGATCCCTGTGCCTCAGGGTGGGTGGCAGGCTGGTTAACCCTGTGGCAGGGCAGCGCCATGTAGGACTCACGAGACACAAACCAGAAAGACTTTTGGGTTTATTCATGGGTGTCTCACTCTTGAGGGTTCCAAGTTCTTCAGACTATCTGTGTGTTTGGGTGTGGATTTAGCAAAGGGGAAATTCTAGTTTAACTCTTGATAGGGAAAAGAAACTGAGTATGTGGCCCAGCTGACGTAACCCTGGTTAAAACACGGTAGTTACGTGTCCTGTTAGAGGCTGGCTAATGATTAGCTGTGCCTGGGACAAGCCTTGACAGGACCTTTACATGAAATTCCCCAGTTCCTGCGGGGCTCTAAAAAGTTGTATATAGTCACTCCTCTGGTTTGTCACTCACCTTTGGGCAGTGGGGGTGCAAACCTGGCCCCAAGGGAAGGTTTGGAATGTGCTGTGCCCACACAACACCATGGCTTTGGTTGCTGGGACATTGGCTGAAGGTGGGATGTGGGTGGCTTCCTTGTGGTCTGGGGACAAAGGATTTACTGGGCTGGCATGGAAAGAGTTGAGAGCAGGACAACTCCCTGGGGTGGAGAACAGGGATCCCCTTGACTTGTTTAACTCTGAGCTCCACCAAGGAGGGGACAGAAAAGCAGTTTCTGCAAGATTTTTACCTGAATCTCTCTGGAAGGTGGTTCTGCAGGGATGCTGCAGTCAAACTGCTCTGAGGAAACTGGTTTTTAGTCCTAAAATAATTACAGTTGAAGGTGCCACTATGTGACTGATGTCAATCTACTCTCTCCAAGCAGGTCTGAGAAATTCTTCTTGCAAGTCAAAGTCTTCTCAAGCTTCTCTCCATTCTTAGTCATAGCCACAAGAGTGATCAACTTCCTTTCAGAAATTCGCCAGTAAGCCTTGTTAAAAATATCACTTAGCCACATCAAGGCAGCTCTGCAGGCTTTTTGAGCATGTAGCTAAAAGTGCCCAATTACTGCTTAAAAAATAATAGTAGCTCTTCACTGCTCCAAATTTTGCAGGATGTTTATACTTTAATAAACTGCTAGTCCTTAAAATGTTTCTTCAGAGTCATTTGACATCCCAAACTGATTTCACAGCCTCTGATGGCCACGGGGTTGTGGGTGGATATGTAGCCTTGGTGGTGTGATGGTCAGTTGTGCTTTTTTATCACACTGAGAAGATGCAAGAGCACTTTTCCATCAATAAAAAGAGAATTAAAGATTTTTTTAATTATTTTTTTTTCCTGGTGTGGTATCTGCCTTCTGGAGGCTCCTTCGTGGCTCTGAAGGGAAGGCACAAGGGTTAAAAAGGGATAAAGAACCTTGGGGACACAGGGAGGGACACAGAAGGAGTGATGGCAGGGAATGGTGCTCACTCCAAGGGGGAGAGCTCTGGCTGAGGCATCTTGGAAAGCTGAGCCTGGGGGACGCAGATGAGTGTGTCGGTGAATTTCAGTTCTGCTTTTCTCTCTGCTTGACCCCATGGAGAAGTGCAGTTGGGGCTGGTCCTCTGTTGTACCATGGGGGATTGATGACACTGCCCAAAACCGGTGCTACTGCCATCAGCTCATTTTTATTTTATGAAGAAATCAGAGTGATTGCTTGAGGAATACTGGATCTAAATTGATTTAACCAGGATCACGTGTATGGGATTAAGGGTTCCACTGGCTCAGGGCATCCTGTGTCTCTTCTTGCTGTGATGGTGTCACAGAACATCCACTTTAGATTTGTGATGGACATTGTCTTGTTCCATAGTTATTTTTATTATAACCAAGTTGTTGTTTTGGTTTCTTTTTTTGGTTAGGGATTAGGAAAATCCAGGCTGTTGCAATTCCAACACCCATGTGGGAGGTTGCTGAGGGGCAAGGCCCTGTTATGGGGATCCCTTTGGGTTCATCAGAGGGGTGTTCAAGGCAGGACAGGTGGGGCTGTCATGGCTGGGTGGTTGTGCACAGTGCTCATCACTCAGCATGGGACAGCAGGACACAGCACACAGCTCTGGGACCAGACAGCCCCAGCAGTGGTCCCTGTGTGAGAGAAGGTGGCCTGGGAAAAGGTGTCAGCTTCTCTCCCAGAGACCTCAGTGGAGCAATACAGACTGGTGTGTGAGCCCAAGGAGCTGTGGAACATGTCCTGGCCTTCTGCCGTGGATCATGAAGGGCCACCATGGTGCTTTCCACCACCTCAGCTCCACCTTTCCTCAAGAGCACCAGAATAATGGCTGGGTAACCACTCCACCAGGAGAGCTTCATCCTAACTAGGACAGGAGTGGAGTCAACTCAGAAACTGAAGATTCTGTTGAGGCAATGTGAAATGACCCTGTCTCCAAAGGAACTTCATCATCATCACCATCTTCCCACACTGGAGAGGTCCGCCCTGATTGCATCTGTGGGGTTTTTCTGCTCTTACTTAAGAAATATTTTGATAGTTTACTCAAAAATCCCCTCTCTTTGGGGGAACAGCACATGCCCACACCAGAGGCTGATTTTCTTTAACAGCTGGATTTCAGAACCATGTCCAGAAATACTTACTCTGTTTTATCCAGCATCCTTGGGGTTCTGAGGCATTTGGGATGTTGCACTGCTGCTGCTGCTGGTGGCAGTTCCCAGGAGATGTGGTATCCTGAAGGATATCTTGGGAAGCTTGAAGCATGAAACAAGCCTCATTTGTGCTTTACGAAATACAAGCAATTTTTCTGCAAGCAGTTTCCAGGAACAGCAAAATGCAAGGGTTTTTTTTTTTGAGGAAAAACTAAGAGAAGATGGTTCAACTCCTAACTGCACAGAATACCCCAATGCCTACCCTGCGCCTTGGAGCGTTGTCCAAGGGCCCTTTGAGCTTTGTCAGGCTGCCATGGGGAGCTGTTCCAGTGCCCGGCCACACTGTGGGGGAAGAACCTTTTCCTAATATCCAGCTTAAAGCTCCCCGACCCAGCACCCGCCGTTCTCCCTCTCGCCAGGTTTTCCCACCACCGCTTCCCCTCAGGGCAGGTATCGCCTTCCCTTGAGCCCCTCAGGGCCGCTCCCGCCATCGTCTCCCCTCAGGGCCGCTCCCACCATCGTCTCCCCTCAGGGCCGCTCCCGCCATCGTCTCCCCTCAGGGCCGCTCCCGCCATCGTCTCCCCTCAGGGCCGCTCCCGCCGCGATGTTCCGCGGACACCGGGCTTGGTTCTCGCAGAGCGTCAGCCCGGGCCCGCGGGGGCTCTGGGGTGAGGGAACCAGGCGACGACCAGGGATGCCTCGGGGCACCGAGCTGGCAGGAATCCGTGGGGGACACAGCCCTGTCACCACTCAGCGGGAATTAGGAGGGGAGCACAGCCTCATCACTCCTCAGCAGGGCACAGCAGTAGCAGCACAGCCCTGTCATCCCTTCGTGGGTCTGAGACCCACTCAACAGGGCAGGGCATGAATTTGGCCAGTCCATGGTGCCTCCACACTGAGGAAAAGCCCTGAACAACCCTCAGGGGAGAACTGGGAGTACCACAGCCATGGGGAGGAGGAAAAGCCCTGAGCAACCTTCAGGGAGTCCCACAGCCATGGGGAGCTATCACAGCTTCCACATCAGGGCCCACCTCTGCAGCCCCACAAGCAGCTGTCCCCATCCCAGGTCACCCCGAGGTGGGAACCCCCTGGATGCCCACCCTCACCTCACTCCTGTCCCCTGCAGCAGACGGTGGTGGGACGATCGCTCACTGGCTGGATGCCGACTACCTCTTCAGCAGCGATGCCACCCACCCCGACACACGCAGGTGGGCAAAGGAGGCTTTCATGGGTTTAGTGGAAAGTATTTCATGGATACTGACATCGTGTAAAAATCAAGGGGGTGTTTTTAAAGTTGTGGCCTGGATCTGCCAGAACCTTATTGCCAAGTGGGGTCAGGAAAACTCACTAAGCTGTAGATAGACAGAATAGAGAAAAAAACATCCATGTGTTGAGAGGGGCTTAACTGTGATATAAATTAAATTAAGTGTGCTGGTTTCTTGCTGGCTGTGAATTATCTACAGGAAAATTAGCATCTAAAACAGAGGTGAGAGAATTCCCAAGGAAGGAACCTTGGAAAAAGCCAGTGTGAATTAATGCTAAAAGGAAGCACTGGGGTAAAAATGGATGGAAAAGGGCTAAAATGCTTAAAATAAAAAAAATAGAGAGCTATGGAACATTTGTACAAATATAAGGAAAGTTTTCAGGATCTTCCTCGCTTCTTCAATATCAGTGAATATTTAAATTTATTCATTATTTCGTCTTGTAAACATATTAATGGGAAAGGAAGCTGTGATGTTTCTTTTAGGCTTTGCCAGGCTAGACTAAGTAGTTTATTTTTAACACACCAGTGCTTAAAGCTGGCTTCAAATTTTGGAATCTTTCAGCCACCAGCTCCAGCTAAGCAAGGGGAATTCCAATAAGCACAGAATAGCAACTTTTCTTCTGCAACAATGTGCTACCAGACCAGCCTGTTCCCCCAGGGGAATTCGGGATAATTTTATATATATATATTTTCAATGTTTTCAATATTTTAAACCCTGCAAACAAGATTTAATTCCCCTCTAAGAAGGACAGTGAGGGCTGGAGCACCCTCCACCTCCACTTCCTTGCTCAGCTGTGTGAGCAGGAACCAGTGTGGTGAAGGATAATTGTAGAAAAATCCTGGCTTTGCCCTCCCTGAAGTAGTTTCACCTCAAGAGTAGAGTGGGACCTTGTAATCCCTAAAAATACATTTACCCTTGTCCCTCCTCCAGGCTGCCCTGGGAGATGGTGGCAGCTGGGACTGTAACAGGATGTGACTGGTAGAGTCTCACAGCTAGAAAATCACAGAAAATTAGGTGCTTTTGGTAAAAATATCAGAGCAGGTTTAATGACAACACCCCTCTAAATGTTTTGGTTTGCTTCCAGGTTCTCCTTTGGAAACCAGCTCTCTTTCTGTCTTCCAGCATACATGAGAGCCTCAGTTACTTGGAAGGCAGAGCCACAGTCTTTCACTCCTGTTACCTCTCAGTGTGTGCGGGCACAGGCGCCGGAGAGAAGCCCTCGGTGGTTCTGGGCCATTTCATCCTGCCCCCTGCCTGCCTGCAAGAAGGTAAGGCAAAAAAATCATCTGAGGGTATTTTCCCAGAAAATCCCCCATGACTGCAGCCTTGGTGCAAACTAGAACTTGTCTGCAGGGAGGGACTTTTCGTTCAGCTTGGGAGTGGCTCTTCCTCCCAGAGGGCAGAGTATCACCCACCTCTTATCACAGAATGACTTGACCTTGAACATACCCAGGGATGGGGCAGCCACAGCTGCTCTGGGAAACCTGTGCCAGGCCCTCACTGCCCTCACAGGGAAGAATTTCTTCCCAATATCCCATCTAACCCTGCCCTCTGGCAGTTTGAAGCCTTTCCCCCTTGTCCTGTCCCTCCAAGCCCTTGTCCCAAGTTCCTCTCCAGCTCTCCTGGAGACCCTTCAGGCCCTGGAAGGGGCTCTGAGCTCTCCTGGAGCCTTCTCTGCTCCAGGTGAGCACCCCCAGCTCTCCCAGCCTGGCTCCAGAGCAGAGGGGCTTCAACCCTTGGACTACCTCCATGGCCCCCTCTGGATTCTCTCCAGCAGCTCCACACGCTGCTGCTGTTGGGGACCCCAGAGCCAGGTCATATCCATGAGCTCCTCATCCATCAACACCCTCAAGTCCTTCTCCTAGGGCTGCTTTCAATCCATTCTTGCCCACCCTGAATTTGTGCTTGGGATTGCCCTGGCCCAGGGGCAGGACCTTGTATTTGGGCTTTTCCCCAGAGGCACCTGCAGGGCATCACACTGGTGGTGACTGCCACAGTCTGTTCTTTGATGCTCTCACAGTCAGTAGTTTTGTTGTTCCTGGCAGAAATCAGAAGCAAAATTGGACGGTTTATTTGGGAGAAGGCAGATGCCCTTGAAGAACAGGTAAGATGAAAAATTTGTATTACACATGTGTGTGCTGGAGGATGAGCCTGAGCTGAGCAGGGAGTTTTTACAGGAATTTAGGGAAAAAAGAGCACCTTTGGGAAAAGGGGCAGGCAACTCAGGAAGCCTTTAAGGATGTTTTTAGGTCATGCAGAAAGAAGAAAATTATGGAGGTGAAAGCTCAGTTAGAACTTAATCTGGTCACCTCTGTAAAGGATAATAGTTGTATAAATACTTTATTACCAAAAGGCGGGCCAAAGAAAACCTCCATTCTTTATTGGAGCGTCCATCACCAAAGACTAGGAAAAGGCTGAGGTACTTAACACCTTCTTTGCCTCAGTCTTCAACACAAAGACTGGTTGCATCAGGACAAATGGTCCCCTGAGCTGGTAGACAGGGAGCAGAATGGACCCCCAGAAATCCAGGAGGAGGCAGGCAGTGACCTGCTGTGTCGCTTAGATGCTCACAAGTCCATGGAACTGGATGGGATCCATCCAAGGGTGATGGAGGAAGAGCTTGCCAAGCCACTCTTCATCATTTATCGTTAGTCCTGGCTTACTGGGGAGGTCCCAGAAGATGAGGTATCAACGTGACACCCATCCACAAAGGTTGGAAGGAGGATTCAGGGAATTCACAGGCCTTTCAGTGTGACCTGTGGCAGGGAAGGTTATGGAGCAGATCACTTTGAGTGCCGTCACACGGCACATACAGGAAAACCACAGGATCAGACCCAGCCAGCATTTAGGAAGGGCAGGTCCTACCTGACCAACCTGATTTCCTTTCATGACGATGGGACCCACCTGGAGGATGAAGGAAAGGTTGTGGATGCACCTACCTGGACATCAGAATGCCAGGGCATCTCCTGAAAAACTGCAGCCCACAGCTTGGACAATTGGTGTCCGTTCACCAGTGGTGTCCCCCAGGGATCAGTGTTGGGCCCAGCCCTATTCAGTATCTTTATTGATGATGTGAATGAGGAGATTGTGTCCACCATTAGCAGACACACAGATGACACCAAGTTGCGTGGGAGTCTGGTTCTACTGGAGGCTAGGAAGGCTCTGCTGAGGGACCCAGACAGGCTGGATCAATGGGCCAAGGCCATTTGTATGAGGGTCAGCAAGGCCAAGGTCTAGGTCCTGCACTTTGGCCACAGTAACCCCTGCAGAGCTACAGGCTCGGAGCGGCTGGAAAGCAGCCCAGCAAGAAAGGCCCTGGCAGTGCTGATCAACAGAAACTGATCATGAGCCCAGGTGGCCAAGAATACCAATGGCATCTGTGACCAGCAGGACCTGGAAGTGATTTTGCCCCTGTTCTGGCCACTGCTGAGACCCCAACTTGAGTGCTGTGTCCAGTTCTGGATCCCTCAATTTAATTCAGGAAGGACATTTTGGTGCTGGAGCAGGTCCAGAAAAGGGAACAGGGGAAGGAGCAGCTGAAGTGGCTCAGCCTGGAGCAAAGGAGGCTCAGAGAGGCTGTCTGGCTCCACACAGCTCCCTGACAGGAGGAGCCAGCTGGGTGGGGGTCAGCCTCTGCTCCCAGGGCCCAAGGGACAAGATGAGAGGACACTGCCTTAAGCTGCACCAGGAGAGGTTTAGGTTGCACATCAGAAAGAATTTGTTCCCAGAAGGGATGATCAAGCATTGGAATGGCCTGCCTGGAATGACTGGACATAGCACTCAGTGCTCTGGTCTGGGTGGGAAGGTGATTGGTCACTGGTTGGGCTCAATGATCTTTTCCAGCCTCATTGATTCTGACTCCCTGTGCTTGCTGCGACAGCACTGGCAGGATTGTCTCCCTTGCCCAGACTATCCAGTCTCCCAGCAGTGTGCTGTTCCAGGGATTCCAACTGCCACAGGCTCAGCTCAGCCCTTCAGTGAGGTGTTTTCCTTCCCCATCTCACTGCCCACTTCTCCTCTCAAAGCAACTTCCCAGCACTTTTGAAGCAGGAATGCCCTTAGACTTAAATTTTAACTGAATTATGCCTGAAATCACGAGCCCTAAAAATCCATGCACTCAGAGGGTGTGTCCCAGCTGCTCTGCAGGTAACCCAGGCTACAACTGAAACTCTTCCTTGTGCTGATATTCACAGCCCAACAAAAACTTGCCAGAGGAATCAGAAGCAGCAAGAAATGGCTGTGAGGAAGAACCAGAGGAGGAGGCACTCGACCTGGCTGAGAGGTATTTTCCACCTTGGCTGGTGGGATTTGGATGTGCCGATTCCAAGCAACCCTGGCACGTAGGAACTGACACTGGTTTGTTTTTTTTTTTGCCTCCTGATACAGCAGTGAAGAAACAGACTCTGAAGCACTTGTCCAGGGAGAATTTCCATACCGTGCCCTCCAGGAATACCCGATAAACAACATGGTGACAGGTAAATACACCTGGAAACAGCTATGGATAGGGCAGATGGAGAGACTCAGCGAGCCCATTTTCCCTCCACAGGCTATGCCTCTGCACGGGACATGAAGAAATATGAGGGGGAACTCCATGACTTTACCCCTGGCACCTCGGGCTATGCAGCGTACTGGGTTCAAAGCAAATTCAGCATTTACTGTGAGAAGACCAAAATGAAGAGGAAATTGTAAGGAACAGGTGGCTGGAGCAGCAAAAACTTCAATGCAAGAGCTGCCAGGTGATTTATAAATTACCTGACTACAGCTCAGTCTTCCATGTGTTATTTAAGTACTGGCTACAGTTATTGCAGTATTTGCTTCTTTGAGTAACTACTTAAACTGAATTTCACAACAAACATAAATACAGATTTTCTCCCCAAACCACAAATATTTTCTTTTTATTCTGGGGCAGGGTGGTGGTGGTTTAAGCTTTAACTAGTTTAAGCAAGTTTTCCTTGGAGGAACACACCCAGGTCTCCTTACTTTCACTAATCAAGGAATTTAAAGACTTTTCCCTTTCATTTAAGCACTTGAAAGTGACCAGTAGAGTCAACTTTTATTGTGGCACAGCCTAATCCCCAGGCTGTCCACTCGAAGGAAGCACAGGCAAACCTGGGACAGGCTCCCACAAGCTCCAAGGAGTCACCATGGCTGTTCTCTGCCACTGCCCCAAAGGCAGGAGAGCCTCTAAAACAACAGCTTTGCACCTCACACCCCAAACTGCCAGGAAAGAACCCAAAAAGATGCTGGCAAGGTGTTGAGTCCTCTGTGTGCTCCAATGCACCACCCCAAGAACTCACCCTCCCTCATCCCTTGGGTGTCTAAAAACCAGGAGGGCTGAGATGGTTTCCTCACGTTTATTGGAAAAGCGACACACAGGGACAGACTCAGAGCGCTCCTCGGGGCGTCTTGAAGTTCATTCCCACTGTGGGCTGTGTCACCTGCAGGTTGGACAAGCTGCCAAAATCCTGGAAAACAGCATGGGAACAACGGGATCAGTCACAGCATCCTGCCCACTCTGCAAGGTGTGGGAATATGGTGTGGGCAGCACAAAGGGTGGACACAGGTCTCCTAAGGGGAAACCAGTCTGCTCTGGAGATTGACTCCTTGCTGAGGGAATCACCAGAAACGGAGGGCAAGGAACAACCCCACCGTGCTGGTGACAAAGCCCCCACGCCCCTGCCCTTTCAAAAGCCATACATGAATTAATCCTCAGGACCCAGGGCAGAGGGACACACTTGACACCATCCAGCCACTCAGGGCAGCAGGAGCTGTGCCAGGGAAATGCCAGGAGCTGGGCAGGGAACAGCTGTGGCTACTCACCAGGAGCTTCAGCATTTCCTTGGTGTCCGGGTCCACTTCGATGATCTCCTGGTCCAGGGCAGAGACCTGGGGACAGAGGGAAGAGAAAAGGTACAAGTGATAAAGCCCCACAACTACCTGGGTGTCTGCACAGCCACTCCGGTCTCATCCCACTGCTGTGGGGAACAGTTCCAGCAGCAGAGCCAGAAGCATCCTGATGGAACACAGCTTTCCTGACTGAACACTGCAAGAGGTCACTAGCAGCAGAGGGAAAAGCTTGTTTTATGGCAAATCTTCAGAAACCGAGGCCCAACCTGCTCCAGGCCGAGGCTGTTGAGGAGCTGGCGTTGGACCCTCAACTGCACCAGTGCTGGCAGTGATCAGTGACACTCACAACTGCCTTGTGACACAAATCCACCACAGTGCCAACAAAGGCTGTCCCACCTCCAGGACCTGTGCCCTCCTGCTCTTCAATCCCACAGAAACTTCCTCCAGCCCTGTCCAGACACCAAACTCTACCTCCGCAGGTCTCCTTCCCCAAGAGCTACATAACACCAGGACTTTTCTACAAAACACAGTACAGGTTTGTGTGCTGACACTGCACCAACACAACTGCAGCACGGACACCCCTTCCCTGCTTGGAGTCCCTTCCCTGTAACCCTTCTCTGGTGCCAGCACAGAAACCAGCAGCTCTGCCAGGAGCCTCCAGGAAGAGCTGGGAAAGGGGCAAGATGTGCCGTGTCTGAAGGCTACAAGACTGAGGAGAAACAGAACAAGGGAAGGCCTCCTGGATGACCTCACCCAGGTGACAGGTGAGATCCTGACCCCGTCCAAACAAAGGGTTAAGGCAAGAGGGTTTTACCAAATCCCTCCCTCTGAGGAGGGATTTCAGCCACTATGAAATATCCTACTTCCCATCAAATTCTTTTTTCCCAAGTTTTAAGTTAGAAAACCAAACCACAAGACACCAACTGCCCTTCCTGTCCCAGGTAACAGCTTTGGAGGGATCCACCCCGGCCCCTTTGATCCAAACCCTCCTCAGCTCATCCTGGCTGAGGGTTTGTTTTAAAGAAACTTGGGACCGTTTACAGAGATCTGGCGAGACAGGATGGAGCGATGGGGAAGCTGGAGCCTCACCTCCGGGACGTAGTTGTCCCTCCTCTCCCTCTCCTCCTCCTGCAGTTTGATGGAGATGCCGCGGACAGGGCCCCTCTGGATTCGCTTCATCAGGTGGGTGACATACCTGCAGGGACACGGGGGTGTCATGGGCTTTCCCAGGGTTCACGTCACCCTTCCCCACACCCCAAATCCTGGAACCACAGCACACCGAGGACAGCTGCCACCATCTACCCCAGCGATATCCCACCACCTCCGGGGACATCGGAGACGAAGTGTCCGACAGCAACAGGGTTTGGGGGAGACAGAGACCCCCCCAAACACGGGAAAACTCTCGCACTGTTCTCCCTGCACTATCAATGACCCGGCCACGGGTGGGACCGTAATCACTTTCGAATGCAGGGGCCAGCAGGAACCCCCAAACCCTGCCCGAATTCCCCAGGACCTTCCAATGCCCAAACCCCCGGGGACACCCCCAGCTGCCCAGAGCCCATCCGGGCCCCCCCGGTACCCAAAGCCCACTCGGGGCCCGCAGTCCCTCACCCCGCAATCTTGTTGCGCAGCTTCTTGCTGGGGATGATGGCGATCTCCTCGCACACGCGCTTGTTGGTGTGGAAGTCATTCCCCAGGCGCGTGTAGTATTTCTCGATGATCACCCGCGCCGCTTTCTTCACCGTCTTCGTCCGAACGCGTCCCTAAGCGGGGTGCGCGGAAGGGTCGCCGGTCAGGCTCCGCCGAGCCCAGGCCCAGTCCCCCTTCCCCCAGCCATCCCGGCCCCCGCCACCCCCCACCGCCCCTCGCCCCGGTCCCCTCCGGTCCCCCCGGCCGCTCCCCGCCGCGGGGGCGCGGTCCCGCCCGCGGATGGCGGCGGATGGCGGACCCGCACCCACCATGTCGGCGGCGGCCGCGGAAAGAGAGCGGGAGGAGGACGGCAGGCACCGGAAGCCAGCACGGGCCACCGCGCCCCCTGGCGGCTCGGAGGGCTCCGGCGGGGCCGCGGCCTCAGGCGCTCCGCAGCGCCCCGGAACAGGATCCGCGGGGAGCGGCCCGGGAAGGGAAGTTCAGATCCCTGCGGTGCCAGCCCCTCCCAGCCCTGCTCGAGAGAGGACACCGAGCAGCCACAAACTCGCACCACCCATGGAAGCGGCAGCAGCCAGGCCCAAGGGAGGAGCGCTGACAACAAGGCTGCTGCAGAGTTAGCACGGTGGGACCGGGAAGGAGGTCAAAGCCTTCCGTGCTCCAGGGAAACGGGGCACAACAAGGTGTCCACTGTGGCAGCGTCAGTCCGAACTCAGCCCTCCCCAGCCCCACAGAGGAGCCCTGGGGTCCCCTCTCCCCTCAGAGCCCTGCAGGAGCAGCACCTGCGCTGCCACAGTAGGAGAACACAGGGCAACACCGGCTCCTCTCCGATCAGCCTCATCAACTTTTGCTGCAATTAGGGGAGCTCCAGCTGGAGTCCAGGGGCCTGCAGGGACCTCGGAGAAGCGGGACCTGAAAATGCATTGCCCAGCAGGTAGAGCTCCCCTCCCAACCGAGTTACCCACCGACAGCATTCATATCTCATAGCTCCATCCATCCCTCCCCCCAAACCACATCCATACCTTCCCCCACACCTCTGGGAAGTGACACCAGAGCCCCTCTGAGCTGCAGAGATCTCCCACGAAGCACACAAGGCACAAGAAAGTTGGGTTTTTTTTTGCTGCAACGTGTTTATTATGTGCCAAAAACTACACCACAGCTTACTCCACACGTCTGTAGGAGAGTGCAGTCTTGCCTGCATATACTACAATGAGGTAGAGACTTCACACACAGCTTCACAAAACCCCACAAAGAGCAGCTGGGATATGCAACAATGCAACATCAGCTCAGCAGTAAAGAAAAAAAAAAAAAACATAGTAAAGAGGGAGAAATTATGACACTGGTTCTTTGGCACACAGCTTCCAATAGAGGGGAAAGTAACAAAATAATAATAATGATCAGCATAATTAAGGTCTCAAATCCCAGCAGCAGCATTTCAGTCGACTGCACTGATACTCCAAACATCTCGGGAAGGAAAAGAAAATTACTTGTCCCCTCTAAGAGAAAGGGCTCCCAGGAACCTTCATCGTCCACCAAACGCAGCCCTTTTTTAGCTTGTTACAAAAGAAAAGGTAAGTCCTGTGACTTTGTGTGATTAAAAACCTCTATCAACCCCCCGTAAGTGCAACTTAAAAAAGTGCAACAAACTATTTAAAACTATATACAGCAGCTCAAAGATCCTCATCCCATCCAGTTTCAAATCCAAAAACAAAAACAAAGCCCGGCCTGTCCCGTTGCAAACCCCTGGATTTACAACGTCCTGCCAGCAGCCCCCAGACACAAATTGCAATAATGTTAAAAGCTGCCAGGAAAAGAAAAGAATCTCTCATTTCAAACGACTTAAAAACTGTTTTTAAGAGTGTAAAAAGGAACTCGTAAAAACCCTCGAGCGTAAAATATGAAATATGATTTGGTTTAAATGAAGAGCAAAGTCTCCTTGTTGTTACAGTAAAAAACGCCAGCTGAACACCCAGGTCACACCATCCAGGTGGGGGTAAATGAATGGAAAGGCACTGTATGGCAACGGCAAAACAATGACCAATGAGACCTGCGCTCTCTCCACCAGTATTGCAAGGAATGTAAAAAAGCGCCTTTAAAAAATAAAAAAACCAGGGCGGAGGCGCCTGTGGCGACACCTCCGCGACACATGGCCCTTGGTTGGTTGGGTTTATTCGTTTTCAATTTTTGCTTCTCAT